GAATTTTTAAAAGAACTCTATAAACAAGAGAAGATTACAGATGAGAAAATAAATCATTATTTAAAAGGGGAAAGTATGACACTATTAACAGAAGAAGAAAGGGTAATGTTAAATAGGGATATTACAATAGAAGAATTAAGGGAGGCAATTCAGAGTAAAAAAAAACAATAAAACTCCAGAGACAGATGGATTACCAGGGACTGTCTATAAAAGCATAGGAGAGGCAATTGATTTGGTACTATTGGAAGTTTGCAATGAGGTATTAACAGAGGCTAGGCTACCAGAATCCTGGAGAGAAGCATATATTTCCCTAATATTGAAAGAAGGCACAGATACCATGCAGATAAAAAATTATAGGTCAATTTCTTTATTAAATACTGATTACAAAATTTTTATGAATATTATGGCAGAAAGAATGAAAAAAATATTGAATTGAAAAATATATCCAGACCAAAATGGATTTTTACCAACAAGACAAATAAAGAATAATATAAGAATAGTAATCAACATAATAGAGTACTATGAGGCCCATCCAGAAAAACAAGCAGCGGTAGTTTTTCTGGATGCTGAAAAGGCCTTTGACAATGTTAATTAGCAATTTATGATCCAGCAGATAAAAAATATGAAATTCAGAGATAGATTTGAAAACATGATAGTGTCAATTTACTCTGCTCAGAAAGCAAGTATAATAATAAATGGGGAATCTACAAATCCATTTGAAATAAGGAAAGGAGTACAGTAGGGATGTCCAATTTCACCTCTGCTCTTTATCCTGACATTAGAGAATTTGTTGATAAGAATTAGTTCGAATCAGGAAATAAAAGGGTTGAAAATTAAACAAGAAGAATATAAGGCCCAAGTATTTGCTGATGACCTTGTATTCTTCATAGAAGAACCAATGGAGATGGGACCAAAATTAATACAGGAGATAAAAAATTTTGGGGAAGTAGCCAGTCTAACAATTAATAAAGACAAAACTTAAAAGATAACAAAAAATTTAACAGATAAGTAGAAAAGGGAATTAGTGAAAAAAACAGAAATACAAATTGCAAAGAAAGTTAAATATTTGGGCATCTGGCTAGCAGTAAGATGCTTAACAATAAAATAACTATATGAACCTAGTATAACAAATAAAGAAAGACTTAGAAAAGTGGGAGAAAATACAGTTATCTCTGTTGGGGAAGATTGCAGCTATTAAAATGAACATTTTGCTGAGATTACTTTATTTGTTTCAAATGATCCCGGTAAAATTGGATAAAAAGGTTTTTTTTTACTCTAAATAAAATAACTACAAAATTTGTCTGGGCAGGTAAAAGAGCGAGGATAAAACTAAGTGTATTGCAGGATAATAGATGCAGAGGTGGATCTGGATTTCCAGCCTGGGAAACATATTATAAAGCAGCAGGTCTAACATGGATCAGAGAATGGGCAAATTTAAGAAATAAAAGAACTTTACCTCTGGAGGGGCATGATTTACAGGTGGGGTGGCATGCCTTCATGTGGAATCCAAAAACTAAGACCCATGCTTATTTCCATAGACATATACTAAGAGATTCATTAATACGAATATGGGGGGAAATAAAAAACAAACACTATATAAAAATCCTGGAATGGGTATCCACCATGGAGGCAATGATACACCCCAGTACACTAGAAATTGGAAAAATAGCCAGATATGAAATTAAAAAATCAGGAATTCAGAGACCAAGGGTTAAATATAGACTGGTGGCTGTACCTCCAATTAAAAACAAGATATAAAAAAGATCAGGAGGAATATGGAATTGAGGTAAAGCCAAACCAATTAGATAAACTCTTGGGGGTACAGAAGAGAAATTGATCTCAAGGATGTATAATTATTTATTAGAATTTGACTTAGCAGAGGAATTAGTGAAAGATCTGATGATAGTGTGGGAAAGAAATGTAGGACATAATATAGAGCTGGAGGATTGGGAAAGGATTTGGGGAAAAATTACATGATAACAAAATCAGCGGTATATAAAGAAAATCAATATAAAATGTGTTATTGGGTATCTAACCCATTTGAGATTGGCCAAAATGTATCCCAACCTAAACCCAATCTGCTGAAATGTAAGCAATCACAGGGCACCTTTTCCCCCGTCTGGTGACTTTGCCCGAAAATTAAGAAATACTGGATAAAAATATGAACATGGTTAAAAGAAATCACAACCGTCCAAACAGAATTCAAACCAGAAATTTTCCTACTGGGGATTATAAAGGGAAACTACACAAAAGAGATAAAATATCTAATCCTGCACATAGTCACAGCAGCAAGATTAGCACTTGCACAATGTTGGAAAGGAGACCTCATGCCGACAGAAGGTTTAATAATCTAAAATATGATTGCATTGAAATGGATAAACTTACTCTAAAATTAAAAGAGAAGGAAGACTCAAAGTATTATACAGTGTGGGAAAACTGGTACAAATGGATAAATGACAGAAATAAGCGATTAAATAAATAAAGAATGAATAGTTTAGAAGGATAATGTATAAGAACAATCAAAAATATGAAATATGTAAGCACCGTCAAAATGGTTTGTAATATTTATTTATTTATTAAATATTTATTTAGTTTTCCTTCTGTGTAATATAATGCAATTGGTCTATCTCTATATGTTTGTTTTCTGTATTAGTTATCTGTTCCTTACTGTGGTCATTTTGGTTGCAGTTATCTACTTTTAATTGGGGTTTCTCTTTCTTCCTTTCTCTTTTAGTCTCAGAGTGGCTAAATTTGTCTCTAGACCCTTTGATTTTTTTTCTAGACTTTTAATATTTTCCCTCAAGTCTTTCTTTTAATTTATATTTGATACAAAATACACTTTGAATCATCTTTGGGTGTAAATAGTCAAAATTCCCTGGGAGTTTTTCATGCTTTTAAAAAATGTAATTAAACATTTTATAATAGATCTCTCTTTGTTTAAAATTCAAAATTTATGAAGATGATATAAACATTTAAAATTTTAAATTTATATAAAATTGAAGAATTAAGAGTAGTAGCAGTCAATAGTTATCTGCACACCCCCATGTATTTTTTTCTGATCAATTTATCCATTGGTGATCTTGGTTGTTCTTCAATCATAATTCCATAAAACTGTACTTAACACATTCATGAACTCCACATGGATATCATACTCTGAATGTGGAACACAAATGTTTTTCATTCTTTTTTTCCTTGCAACCAACCTATTCCTTCTCACTATCATGGCCTATGATAGATACATTGCCATCTGTCACCCATTGCATTTTGCATCCATAATGAAGTGGTCCTCTTCCCTACAAATGGCTGCAGGGACCTGGGTAGTTGGATTTCTACATGCTTTGCTACACATAGGAAATATTTTTTCAATGCCTTTCTGTTCCAACATTATCAATCAGTTATTCTGTGAAGTTCCCCAACTAATCAAGCTTGTTTGTTCTGATTCTTATCTCAGAGAAACCTGGGTTCTTGTCTTTAGTTCATGTTTAGGAACTAGTTGCCTCGCATTCATTGTCTTGAGCTATGTGCAGATCTTTTCCACTGTGCTGAGAATGCCTTCAGTTGAGAGAAGGGAAAAAGCCTTTTCCACTTGCATCCCCCACCTCATTGTGGTTTCCCTATTTGTTGGAAATAGCCTCAACTTACCTAATGCCTACCTTTTTGTCCAAAATGGAGGAATCTTTTTCTGTGGTATACGCTATAATTCCTTCACTAATGAATACAGTAATCTACAGCATGAGGAACAAAGATGTCAAAGCTTCCCTTTGGAAACCCTTTGGTTGGGGACAAGGATTTACAAGAAATAATGCAAAACTCCCTGAATGTATTCATGTATAACTTGCTTATTTATGTGATTTATCTATCTGTTTATTTATTTACTACACTTCCCATCTCCTCTAAGTGGGCAGCTTGTTTTATTAACATAAACATGTTACTAAACAGACAGTTGAATTATGATATTTGCATCTTGCTTTCAATAGAGGACCAGCTGACGATTCGGATTAGAAATAATGATGTACCCATATGCTATATAAAGTTTCTTCAGAGATGTAACATACACATTTCACATCTATGCATATATTTTGATTAAAAGGGGAGATCAGCTACTTCTAAGTGGAAAATAATTATTGACACTGGAAGTCAGTTTCCAAAATTATAGATGAGCGAATTCACTGTTATTAATCAGTCTCTAGAAAAGGTTTGATTAAAACAATTTATCTATTAAGTACAACAAATAAGTAGGTGTTATTTCCAGTTTATTTTATTCTTGATTTTAGGAGAAGACACATTGATTAGTTTTTTATTGAGCAATCAAAATTTTGATGATAGATCAGTTTTATTGTAGACAGCATGAACATGAAGTTGATCTTAACTTAGATCAGCCTGTGGATATATTGTCATATTTAACTAGAAGTTATCAATAAAATTGGTACGTCCAGTTCTCACTTTCAGAGAGAAAATTTGCAATGCTGGCATTTCTTGTTGAGTCCATACTATCAGTCTAATACAATGTCAGTTCTCTCTTCAGTTAGGCAGCAAGTCAAAACTATTATGCCTACATTAGTGCTCCTTCTTTTGACCATTTGGTGAGAGAGGAGAGGAGAGATAGTTCAGAAAAACTGCATTACTACCGTGAGGATAAGAATGATGTTGATGTACTTCAAAATCATACCCTATACTAATTATTCACAGGGATATTATTGAATATAAAATTTCCATTGCTCATACTTATGTCTGACTAAGTAAGCATATATTAATATGCAACATGCATGCTATCTGGAGAACTGATGAGAGTAGATAACATTCACTATCAGAATATTCAGTTTATTATTTTAGAATGATGACATTGAAGTTATACTGGGGTATTCACAATATTAATTTGGAAGAGAATAAGAGATTTCTGATCTATATCTATGGAGGTTTTGTTGTATATTATAAACTTGTATTTGATTGGTCAATAAAAATAAATTTCATCACTCACCAGGAGAAACAAGTGGCCCTTGTTTTCTTGGATGCCCAGAAGGCCCTCAATAATTTAAATTGGAAATTTATGATACAACAAATTTATAACATGAACCTAGGAACTAAATTTGAGAATATAATAAAAACAGTATACTCCACACAAAAGGCAAATATTATGATAAATGCTGAAAACACCCAGAGTTTTGAAATAAGGAAAAGAGTAAGACAAGACTGTCTTCTGTCATCTTTGCTTTTTATCTTGTCACTAGAGACCCTACTAAGACAAATCAGACAGAACCCGAGAATAAAAGGAACTAGAGCCAAAAAAGAGGAATACAAACTGCAAGTCATTACAGACGATATGATGTTCTTTGTTGAGGATCTGATAGAGACAGGGGAAGAGATAATTAGAGAATTGGAGAGATATGGGGAAGTAGCAAGTCTTAAAATTAACAGACAAAAAACAAAACTTCTAACCAAAAATCTAACAGAATTATAAAAAATAGAATTGGAAAAGGTAATGGGACTGCAAATAACAAAGAAAATTAAATATTTAGGTAGCAGCCATTAAAATGTCCATCTTACCCAAATTCCTGTATTTATTCCAGATGATCCTCATTAAATTAGAATTTATTTATTTTTTAGTGAGATTAATAAACTTACGGCAAAATTTATTTGGTTAGGCAAAAAAACCTAGAATAAAGATGAGAGCACTACAAGATATTAAAAGCAGAGGGGGACTTGGACTTCCAAATTGGGAGTTATACTATGCGATGGCATTAATCTGGATTAAAGAATGGGTTAGTCTAACTAATAAGTGAATATTACATTTAGAGGGCCATGACCTGCAAGGAGGGTGGCATGCCTTTTTGTGGGAAACAGGAACTAAAAAACAGCAATATTTTCACAGACATTTGATTAGAGATACCCTACTACAAAATTGGATTAAAATTAGAAAGAAACATTATATGAAAATTCCAATTTGTCTATCTACAATGGAAGCTATGATACACCCAAACAATTTTTGACTTATGTAAAATGACAAAATATAAAGATGTTTTAGACGTACAAGGAAACTTAAAATCGATCCAGGATCTTCAAAAACAAGGGATACACATCGACTGGTGGGCATATCTTCAACTACAAAACAGACATAAAAAAGACATAGAAGATTTCAGAATATATTTGGAACTACAACAATTAGATAAAATTCTAACAGGTCCAGATTAAAAAAAAAATCACAAGAATCTATAAATATCTGTTAGATGTAGAACTGGAAGAAGAGGTGGTTAAGGGAAATATGATAGCCTGATTTCAAAACATTGGATACAATATAAATTTGACAGAGTGGGAGAATATTTGGAACCTAAATTGTAAATTAACGAAATCGGCCTCATAGAAAGAGAACATCAATAAGATGTTTTGTGATACCTGCCTTCTGCAAGATTGGCAAAGATGTATCCCAACATGAACCCGGCATGTTTGAAGTGCAAGAAGAAAGAGGGTACTTTTTAATATGTAGTGGTCTTGTTCAGAAGCCCAGAAGTACTGGCTTAAAATTAAAAAATGGTTGCAAGGGATCCTTAAGGAACAAATAGAATTGGAACCAGAATTATTCTTGTTAAGGATATTTAAAAAGAAATGTGGGGAAAATATAAAATTACACATTTTAATGGCTGCCATATTACACATTTTAATGGCTGCTAGAATTTCCTACCCTCAATGTTGGAAGCACAATTATATACCATCAGATGAATTGATCATTCAAAAAATAATGTGTGCTGAGATGGATAAATTAACCCTGATGTTATGAGAGGACTCTAAATATTGTAGAATTTGGGGAAAATGGTATGATTGGATTGAATTAAGACAAATGGATGATGAAAGAATTAATGACAAGCAACCTGTAGATTAAAGGTTTACATTCACATAAATTGTATATATTTGTAAATAGAAAATACAAAATAGAAGTTTATGAGATAGATGTCACATACTGTTAATGTCATAATATGTATATTTTTGGTTCGGTTTTTAAGGATATAAAGGACTAATAAAGCTTATTAAAAATAAATTTTATCAACTCTGATTCTTTTATTGTCATATTGTCATAGTAAGAACATTTGACTGAAACATGAAGGTGTTCCATTGTTCTTAAAGTAGATACTCTCATAATGTTGCCTTTTTGTTCACATTAGCAAAATGTGAAAAGAATTGAAAGCTAGAGCTGGTGGCTTGTTCTGTCTCCTTGAGCTCACCATAGCAGTCTAACTATTTCCTAAAAAGGGAGAGTTGCAGTAAGGATGGTAAATTGTCAAAAAGTACTGGGTCAGAGATGCTTTTATGAGGAATGAATAAACCATTGGCTCATTCAAAGCTAAGGACATAACCCTCTCACTCACTGTATGAATTCAACTATCAGTAACAATCTGGGGAGTCTTAAGAGTGAGATTTTAGAAAAGCTGAAAGAATATTGTGAGAAAACCCTTAAACAAATTAAATAAATTGATGTGTTATTAACTAAAGGCTTAACTACAGAAAGTCAGTTCGCTATAATAATTAGGTGCTGGCTTTAGAAACTAAGAGACTGTGAATTCCAGCCCTCCTATAGGATTAAAAATCAGCCTTATATAGATATTAAAATATAATCACAATAACTATATTATAAATAATGACACAATGCAGTCACCAAAATGATTCACTAGAACATCAGTAAAAATTAATATGGACCTATAGCAAAAAAATTGGTAGCAACACAGAGTTGAAAAAGTAGTCAACAATGTTAAAATATTGTGGATGTCAGGGTTCTGACTGATGCCCTAATTAAATCATGAGCCTCAAGCCAAGCTTCAAAAGAAATCCAGTTATTTATTAGGAGCTTCATGTCGGCACAGACCAAATGAAATATATTTTTGAAAGACAATAATTACAATGTTAATGATAACACAATAATTGATAAATGTGATATAAAATATTGATTAGAATGGTTATAAATATAAACAAGTAAGACATGTATGATAATATTACTATGTGCATAAGATATATGTACCCAACTGACACACTGCTGAACAGAAAGATGGTTTTATTTGTTTGTTTTTGTTTATGTTATAAAAATAAAAAAAACTTTTTCAAAAAAAGCAATGTTAAAATATTGTAGGTGTCAGGGTTCTGACCGATGCCTTAATTAAATCATGAGCCTCAAGCCAAGCTTCAAAAGAAATCCAGTTATTTATTAGGAGCTTCATGTCGGCACAGACCAAATGAAGCCAACTCTGACCTCACTTAATTCATACTTTGGCATGAATTGTTTCCCCCTCCCCCCAAGTTGTATCATCAGTCACATTCCCCAATTTTGTAGGTTGTAGAAGTAACTCCCTTCAGCCATTGTGAGTTTCCATGGAGATAACCTTGACATTTGCCAGCTGGAATGTGCTTTGTTTTGATTGAAATGCAAGTTCCTTGATGCAGCTATGAGGTTCAATTCCCCATCCCCTTGCCTATGGCAACTCAAAAGCAGGTCAGGGATGCTTTGTGAGTTGACATTTGGCTTCCCTCTCTTCCTGAAGGCAACCTGTGAAAAGACATTTTAAGTACAGGTGTAGATTTTAGAGGTGCAACCCCTCTAAGGTTGTTTGGGTTATCTTTGTGGAATTTAGCTATGAGGCGGTCAAGTTGGATGTTTCTACTCTTTACCCAAGATGCTTCTGATCAGGGATAGCTCTTCCACTTGATTAGATATTGGAGCTGTCTCCTGTTCCACCTCGAGTCGAGGATTCATTGCACCTCATAATGGGTTTGGGCCCCTATGACCACTGGGTCTCGGGGCTCATGGGGTAATGATCTCAGGGTTAACCCAACCATGGGTTTTAAGAGGCTGCTATGGGGGAAATTGAGTGAGAAAATCTAGCAAGATATGTCCAATTGATTCTTTCTCAGGTAAAAGATATATCTAATCTATAGGAATACTCAGTTTAAAAATGGATGAGATGTAGACCTGCCTAAGTTTATTTAATAATAAACTCAGTTTAGTTCTGATGCACTATTTTTAACATTTTGTAAAACACTAAGTGTGATTTATCAAAGTTTATTTCTGGACATTTCTTAAGCACTTGTTACTTGGGATCTTTGTTGTCTGGTATATTCTTCAACACTAAGTAGGCTTTAAGCTATTTTTATTAAAAATAGAATTAAGTTTACATTGTCTGTTTTGGAATAATTAGCTGGAATGCACTGTTTCTCTGAACCAATGGAAACTGTTTTAAAACTGTGGAAATAGAATTAATTTCTTTGATCATAAATAAAACTTATTTTGCATTTAAAATAAGTTGGTCTAAACAGTGATTACTACTGTAGGAGGGGGTGATGCTACTTCCCTTGAAAAAGATGATGTATACCTGTTTCTTAAGAAGCCATTCCTGGATCCATATTTACTTGGCCTCCAACTACCCTATTTTAGTACAAAGTTGATGAGTAGGTGGATGGTCCAGCTGACAGAACTAAAAAAAATTAAATAAGTTAATCTTGGACTTCTGGTTATCCTTTTTGGACTTTCATCACCCCAACACCTTCCACTATGCATGTATCTCAAATTCCTACACACTAATTTGTATCCACATGCTACTGCTGCCTATGTATTTTAAAAGAAGATTTCTACTCTACTCCTTTAATGCCAGAGACAAAAGTAGTTGCTGTGATTTTGCAGTGATGTCTAATGTAACTAATTTCCATTAAATGATTACTGTATCTTTCCAGTAATGTTGTGGAAGCAACATAGTGAAGACTTGATCATTGGGAAAATTTGTCATCAATGTCATGGCCCAGTGGAAAGGAGAGCAGAAGAGAGGTTCTCTTATGTCATTTGCCTAGCAACAGAATAAACATTCCAATGAGTGACAGTTGACTGCATCAACATTCTGAGGTGTGACTGTTAGCTGCAGCATATATAAAAGACTGGGTTACTCCTATTCTCTTGATTTGAAATAACGAACAGCTTAGGTTGTTGCCTCACATTTTAGCTTTCATTATTACCATTTTAAAGGGTGATATTAGCACGTTTAACATCTCAATCTAGGCCTCTTTTTTCATTATATGTAAGCATGCTTTTGTTTTCTTAGCCAAAACAATTTCTCTGGTATGTTGAGAATGAACTTTTTCAACAACTATAGAGCATATTCTGAAAATTCTTGAATACACTTTGAACTTTTAAGAAAGATATAAATCCAGCTAGGAAAGAGTAATGTAATCTATAACTTTACTATTTGTAGAATGTTATCTAGAACCTATATTTTGTCTTGTGCGATTCTCACAGGTAATCATTGTCTTTTATTGTTTGATCACTTGCTTTCTGATGCATCACATATCATATGTATGTATTTAACTACATATTTATTAATGCACGCACATGTATTCTACTAATGTATTTGTAAGAAGTTTCCCCGAGCCATTGATATGCCAAAGAGTGAGACTTGAGATGAGGTTTATTCTTTGGCCAAAGCAAAAAGTCTGGGTGAATACTATGCCCAAAACATACAGACAAAATGCATGTAAGGAACACACCCTGCAAGAATGGCTCAGAGTATTATATACATTTTATGCTGATAGAAACTAAGCTTATCCAGTCAGATACAAAGGTTCATTATTAATGTGGGCAAGTCATTGCCCACATTAATAATGCCATCCCCTTCCTTATCCATGCCCTCCCCTTCCTTATCCATGGAGCATTCTTTGTCTGTGCTCTGTGCGTACTTTGTTATTTACACAGTATCCCTTGTTCTTGTATGTTTGTGCTCCTAGGTAGCCCCCCCCCCCCACCTATGGAGCAGGATGTTCCTGGGAATTGTCTCCAAAGATATGTCTAGCTCTGAAGCAAATTGCAGAGGTGAGAAACCAGATAGAAAAGGATACAATTCTCTTACAGAATGAATTCGTAACAAATGATTCCCATCCTTAGCAAAATAGTGCAAGCAACTTCTTTAACAGAAGCAAAGAGCAAAAGTTAGATTGATTCATGTCAATATGTCCTTTCATTTTCCTCCCTTTTCTTATGACAGGATGCTTCCTGTCAATGGTGGGCTAGGGGAGCATTTAAGAACCATGAGTTTTGTTGGTCTAATGGGTGGAGGGGGTGGAGGAATGGATCAGTGGACACTGAAGAGGCTAAGACTACCATCCCAGTGATAGGATAGGTAACCATACGCTGGATCAGAGGGATGGAACAGGAGGAAAAGGAGATCTCCTAGGGTTAAAAACACTAGAAACCCAATCCATTTCCAGTGAGAGAAGATACTCCCAAACCAGTTGAAATCAACTGCCCCAGTCCAAGTTTGCACCAGGACATGGGCAGTTTTCCCCACCCTTGCAGCAATTTCCTCCATAACTGGACCCTCTATCTATAAACAACAATTTCTGAGATAAAATGTTCACACACATCTCCTTCTGTTGCTGACAAAAAGTGTACAGCAAGTTTATACTGATATATTTAGTTGTTTTAAACTAAACTGCCATTTAGCCATTAAAGTTAAAGCAATAGTTATTATTTCAAGCACAGGTTGTAACCTTATAAGCCTATTCAACATATAGTTCTATAACCACACATTCCATCTTCTGTTCAATTGGCTGGTCCATATACATGAATTATTCTTTTTAGAGGCTACTCATAGATCTGTGATCTGCTTCCACATGAACAGGTACACCCAGTCTGTCACCTTGTTGTATGGACAGTAGGAAAAACAACACACATCGTCCATACCAATGGCTAGGCAATTGCACATAGGCAAACTTTTCACATATCCAATATAATCCATTTGTAGCATGCCAGTTAAAAATTTCATTACCCACATCCATCAATAACCCACCCATTCTAGGTGCATTTTCAAATGAGTTACTAGGTTGTGGCAGGTTAATTCTAAACTGAAAGGTTACATTAAGGAAAGAAAAGACCCTTGTTTGTAATGTATGGTTTTTCAGATTAATCTTTGCATTATATTCTCCCCCTATTAGTTCTACCCATAAGAAAATTATAACCATTGCATCAAAAACATCCTATATCTTCAGGGATTATGACATCACTATCTCCTAGGACTACTGTGGCCAAGACAGGTTGATCAGGTTAACAATTCTTACACATTTAATATACCCAGTCTACTATTACTATATCACAAGGTTCTTCATAAGCGCATACTGGTCCACAATCACAACAATGGTAACACTAACAACATTCAGTGATACAGTTACAATCACAGAACCAATACATCCTGTAGGGTGCAAAGTTCCACAGCTTCGCTTGGGATCTTCAGATGGAATAACAGGCCACCACTTAGGCAGGAAAAATAAAATAGTTGGTACTCCTGCAATGAGAAAAAGAAATCACAAACAAAACCCATTCATACCACCATGACCACATCGGTTTTTAGTAATGTTTATTCTCAGCTGGTCTTCTCCAGGGACCACTTTCCACTCTTTAAGTTCATCAACTGGTCCTTTTACACCCTTTGTCTTTTGTTCAGACTGCTGTTTCAATGGTCAGCAGGACTTGGCAGGACCTGTCCCAGGCTTGGCTAAGTTTTTCCTCACATCAGTTTTTTATCAGGACTCAATCACCAGGCTGGAACTTCTCTGGGATCTTGGAGACACCCATGGTTCTGCTGTGGTGCCTGGTGGTCTTGGTGTGATGGCCACGGACATGGAGGCCCCAGAAGTGGGCCTCCATGTCCATGGTCAGCACACCAAGACAGTGTGTGCAAGAAGTGGTGCAGGCCCTGATGGGCCCTGATCTTCAGGTGCTCCAAATCCTTGCACGGCTTGTTGTCCAGATCATTGGGCAAGATCTAGCTGTACTTGCCATCCTTGCAGTCCTTCTGCCTGTTGAGGAACCAGTCAGGGATCTTGTGGTGATGACCTGCTCCACCCCATCCTCTGTGAGTTCCCCAGCCCACTTGGTCAGGTTGGTGTCTGCTTTTTGCAACACCATGTGAGCATAGTGTCTGCCCATCCCCTTGATAGTGAAGGCAATCTTGCACCACCCATCGATGTTGGTGTTCAGGACATGCAGGATGTGCTGGAACTTATGGACAGCAAGTTCAGGAGGTAGGGTTTGAGCTAGTAGTTCTTTGTTTCTGAGGTAAGCTAAAGAAGAGGAGAGCCAAGTATACAGTTCTTTACAAAAAAAAATCTTTAGTTTCATATTGTGGAATTTCCAAGTGTGGTAATTCAAACATCATTTCATAAAGTAAAATGTCCCTTTTTGGACAGGTTCAAATTCTGAGCAAGTTCAAGGGTAAACATTTGGTCCATGGCATAGATGAATTTGCATTCCATGAAAGTGACATTCCCACTCAATTCCCACACTCCAGGATTGATTGTAGAAAAATGAGTTGCTTTCTACAGGTTCTACTATCCCTTACGTAGGTGTTATCTGTTCCAGTATAATTTTGGTGATTACTGCTGGAGTGGCTCTCATGGCTGGATAAGCCTCAACCCAACCAGTCAAGTGATCCACTATCATCAATAAACAATTAAATCTCCCTCCTTGAGTGAGTTCAATAAAATCAATTTGAATGCATTGAAATGATCTCATGCTAAATGTTGCCCTTCCTTCTCTTTAGGAGTAGGACTTGTTTACTAACTCTTTTACATACTGTACAAGTCACATATTTATTTAGATACTGTATACAATCCACGGCATCCATAAGCTTCCAAAAACAAATCACATCATACCTTAGTCCCCCAATGAGTGCCCTGATGTAGTACTTCCAAAATCAACATTTGCCTTCCATCAGGCAATACCCACTTCCATTCTCCAATTTCTATTGCTCCCACTTTCTCTAACTCCCTCTTCTCATAACATTAAATATTCCTCCTACCATTGCCATCCTGGCTTCCATGTCAACACACGTCTGTGCAGACCAACTTAACTTTCTAGCTAGCTAGACCAAAAGCCTGTCTCTTCCAGCTATTACTTTCTCTTCTCTTCTTTAAAAAGTAGTTAAAGATATTGCTGTCAAAGTCTTCTTGAGTTTCTAAAATGGAAAAAAAAAAGGGCCATTCTCTCAGCCTTGATTCCAACTGGTTCTTTATAAATGGCATATAATACATAACTTCCTACTTTTGCCCACTGTCCCATGTTAATAAAAACCAATATTTTATATACTGTTTCATTGGATAGTTGATGAAGTGTTCCTGCTCCCAGGAACACCTCCACATTTGTCTGCAGGTTTCAATAAATTTAGTATCATTAAGCAAACAGGTCAGAGATGCTGGTTGCAAAAACAGTACTTTTTATACAAAGATACCAATCAGTGTTAGAAATAATGTATCAGAAATGCCAGTGTGATAAAGGACTGAGATGTGACAGAAATCATACACAGGCAGAAATATTATCAGAGCCCTTCAGATATCTTTCAGAGAAAAATGTGCATGGTTTTTCATGGCTAATGTGATCTTTCTACTTCTATTTGATTATCCCTAATTTGCTATTTTCCTTAAATATTAATCAGTGATATTCTTTAGTTTCTTATCATAGTTCCATATTAATACAATGTTTCAGTATGCCAACAATAAACCAATCAAAATAATTTATTAATCATATTTCAAAATCCCAACATTGGTTTTACAAGAGGCCCGGTATTTTAAAATATTTAGTTTGGTCTGATACAACAAATCAAAAATTATAACACATCAAATAAACAATTTATATTCAATGGAATATACTTAGTCATCCTTATCTAACAGCAACTCCTTAGTTTGCTAAATTTCAAATTTAAGGTGATGAACAAATTGGTGCATCAAAGGGAAATTATCATTATTTGCTAAAATAATTGTCAACCAAGCAATTTCCTAAAGGCAGTTTTGACATCTTTGTTCCTCATGCTGTAGATTATTGGATTCATTAAAGAAGGCATAACTGCATATAGTGTGGTAAACACTTTGTCCAGCTTGGATAGAGAATTAGCAGGTAGTATTAGGTGAGCCAAGAGGCTACTGCCAACCAGTAGGGAAACCACAATGAGGTGAGGGATGCAAGTGGAGAAGGCCTTTTCTCTTTTCTCAGTTGAGGGCATTTTCACCACCGTGGTAAAAATACGCACATAGGACAAGATAATGAATGAAAGGCAGCCAACTTCTAAGCCTGTACTAAAGATAAGTATCCAGGTTTCACCAAGGTAAGAACCAGGACAAAAGAGCTTGATTAACTGTGGAACTTCACAGAAGAACTGATTGATGATGTTGGAGCAAAAAGGCATTGAAAAAATATATCCTGTGTGAAGAGCTGCGTGCAGAAATCCAACTACCCAGGCCCCTCCAGCCATTTGAATGCAACTGGACCAATTCATTTTGGATGCAAAGTGCAACGGGTGACAGATAGCAATGTATCTATCATAGGCCATGACAGTGAGAAGGAAGAAATTTGATGATAAGAAAGAAAGATAGAAAAACAATTGTGTCACACATTCAGAATACGATATCCATTTAGAGCTCATTAAGGCATTTACTATAGATTTGGGTATAATAGCAGATGTCCCACCAAGGTCACCAATAGATAAATTGATTAAAAAGAAATACATTGGGGTGTGCAAACAACGATTGAACAGTATCAAAAAAATAATGAGAAGATTTCCCCCCAGGACAAAAAGATACATTATCAAGAAAACACTGCTGTGTAAAATTTGAATCTTTTGATTTTCAGAAAATCCAACAAGTACAAAATCCAATATATTTGTTGTGTTCAATGACATTATGCTGTAGGAAGATGAAATATAAATTATATACATATCTATTACTTTGAAAAAAATATTTTCCCCTAAGAGCAATAATGTTTTGTAACTGTATAACAACTTTTTATTCTCGCTGTACTTTTTTCTTATATGCTTAATATATATCATTTGAGAATATATAGCTATAAGAAATGGCTTATATCTTACTGAAATTAATGTAATTTTTATAATGTTCAGTATAACTGTAAAGATCAACACTAACCTTACCTTTTTTTCCCCC